TTTTTTTTTCACATTATCTAAAGTTTACACAGACGTATTTACTGCGGGATTAGAGATGAGTGAGCCAGAAAACAAAATAGTGTTTATAAATCATTTGGCAAATAATTATTTCCGTTTTTCCAAACAAATAGTAATAATTGGTTGTAAGATTATTTAAAACCCAAAATGTCGGTCGATCGCAGTAGATCGTTTAAAATTATTGGCCATCGAACACCGTAGTAAAATTTCAGACATAATGTCATGTGATTTAATTAAAATCACTAGCTCGCATCGTTTTATAATAAATTAAGTGCAATACATATTATTTACATTTAACTACTATGATGGTACGTTAAGACACATTATAATACTATATAATATGTTAATTATGATATTATTATTTTCATATATTTTACGGTTTTTACCTCTGTACTTTTGATATAACACAGAAGCATGGACCGGTGTCAAGACATGTTGACGGGGACCAATACGAGGAGGTGGCGGCGTCGGTGGCTGCTGTGGTCGCGGAGGAGCACGTTGACGTGTAGCGGGTGAAACAGGTCGCGTTTGAAGGACGCTGGAAGGACGATGAGGACGTGGAGGTAGAAGAGTTGGAGGAGCAGGAGTAAGTATTTGTCGTGTTGGAGGAGTTTACGGCGGTAACGGCGTTAGATGACGATGACGACAACGACGTCGTGGTGACGGTGGTGATCGCGACGGCAGCGGCGTGACGGTGCTGACGCGCCGTCATGTCTCGGGAACGCGCTCACGCCACGCACCGGCGACAGTGCGACGTCGGAGGAGATGGYGGCGTCGGCTGTAGCAACTGTGGCACGGACGACGCGACGGACGCCGCAACAGACGACGGTGACGACGACCACGACGACGGTGACGACGACCGTGACGACGGTGACGGCGACCGCTGCGAGGACGGCGACGATGGCGACGGACACAGAGACGCACGCGGCAACGACAACGACAACAACAACGACGGATACGATGACCACGGAGACGACGAGTTTAACGAAGACGACCACCGTCTGGCGAGGGCTATCGCAAAAATGGCCTTTGACGACGCGATACCGGCGCCCCGGCGCCCCGGCCACCACATCGTCGTCTCGTCGACCACAGTCCGAAGCTGGTGTTAAGACTTTGGATTTTCGAGCGTCACGCTGAGTTTCGGATCCTTTGGTGGTGGATAAGCCGGTGACACGACGGTCCACGGACGGACACGCAAATTGCGTTTGTTATAATGATAATATTATCCTTGTCCGTGTTATATGATGTTATTATAGTAWTAATATTTTGTCGACAAGAAGATGGAATCACGCATCAMATAATAAGATTTGAAACAAAATATCTATTTTAKGACCATAAATATTCAGTTTTGTTMAATGCAAAATRAAAAAACAACCGACGTCCAAATCTCCAAATGCTTTACACGCGTGTGTGTCAACCGAAATCGGCGAGCGTGTTGTACGTGCGTTTACGCGGGGACGCTGTACCCTAACTGCAGGCCACCAACGCGTCCTACGTTTCGACCCTAACTACGCTACCGCGCGTACACATACGCCACACCTGGCACCGCCACCCGTCCCGCGCGTTCGGTACAACACATGCGTCCGAGCGACCGTCGTTTTCAGCCGCCGCCGCCACCGGCGCGCGCGTGCCGGCCGTTCGGAGCAGCGATATACGCGCACGGTGTGCCGCCACCGCTTTTCGCGCAACGCGCGCGAACCGCCGGCCGAAAACGGACGCGGGTGCGCCGGCGGTGAAGCACGCGGAGAGAGCGAGAGRAAATGATTGCTCGCGAAAGAGATTCGGAACGGTGGTTCARCTATCGGAGCGGGCAGTAGCGTAGGGACGTGGGCGGTCCAGAAGTTGCGGTAGGGTGGAGGGGCTGCGTGGAGGAGGTGAGAAAAAGATAGATACCGTGAGAAAGAGAGAGTCATCGAGAGCGTGCGCCATCCGCCGTTCCACGCGCCGCAATCGCCTCACTATAATAGTCACTATGCCATCTGCAGCACCGCCGTCACTACCGCCACCATCGTCGTCGCCTTATTCTTCTTTTCTTCATTTTCTTCTTCTTTTTCGTCTTCTTCTTCTTGCTCTTCTCCGTCGTATTCTTCTACAACAGCGACGGCGGCGGTAAGCCTGCGGTTCTCTCTCTCTCTCTCTCTCTCTCTCTCACGATTGCTCGCTCGTTCGCTCGCTTCTATATACAACAGTTACGCGCACGCTCTCGATTTCCTGCCGGAACACACGGTGTGGTCGCGAGAATTATGTTTGTGACAACATGACAGATTAGCGTAGAGACCGTGCGAGTTGAAAAATGTATACCCCGCWCACTGTACCGAGACAGAGCCGCAGTCGTGTTCTGCACCATTCAATTGGTTGGCGATTGAAATTTATGGTCATCGTTCCGCCGGCGTAGGAATTTTTATTTTTTATTTTCTGATTTTGATACTTCTATCGTTTTCCCGTCTCGTCATACAACATTTATTATTGTTATTAATATCATTTCGTAGCGAACTTCAATATATTATTATGTTTTCACCGTCATCATATAACGTTGTTGTGAGGATGTATCAGTCTGCCGTCGCCCGTCAAAAGGTATTGCACCATGATATCATCGTACGGTCATAACAACTCATATATAGGTATTACTATACTGCGCATTATATAGTATGAAAAAACTGTCCAGCTCGTTAATGATGAATTCAGTCCACTTGTCTTGTTTGTAACACATCAGTGATTATCACATAATATGATGTGACATCACAAATCTTGTATGGAGAAGAAAATAACCTGAAGAATATTAGATTTTATATCCTATCATCATCAAATTCCCACTAACCTAACCATCCCTCTGTCTTTATGTGCACTCAGTTTTATCGTAAATACAACGAATTCATTAAATATTCATCATTTCAATTTTACGGATCGTAACATAGTAAATAATGCTTTTAAATGACATGGCATACGGAATTATTATGTACCTATAAATTAAATATAATTTACAAATACGGGAAATAGTGAATTTCATTATCAATACCCAATTATTGTATATTGTTCATCAGTTATAAATARATATAAATGTAGGTTAAAATTATCGATATTAATTGTATTTGTACCTATTTTTAACCAAAATTCAACCGAAACACACGACTATAATAAAATATCATTATGAATAATATAATATAAATTCAGTAACTATTGTTTTGGTCTGAAAAGAAATTAATTTCGAAATGATTAATAAACAAAAATTCGACAGTTTTGCTGTTTATAATTTCATTAAGCCCAATGGCCTATGTCGCCGTGGGTAAATTTGTGTTAATAATAATAAATTAAAATACGTACATCATTAAAGATTAAACCTAATCAATTTAAATTTAGYGGACAATATTAGTTATAATGCACATCTCGTATTGTTCATGTTGCAGTAATTGGATGTAGGCCTCCAGATTCACTTTGCAGTTGTCAGAGCTAATTTTTTTAAAAAGATTCCTACCCTATTTTATTAAGTTTATAGTTTTCAAAGTCTAAAAAGCTCATTTTTTAATATTTAAACAGTCATGAATATTTTAAGCTATTTTAAACACGATACATAAAATCGATCAAAGTATTATTTTAGAAATTAAATTGTGGTCTATAGTATAGCACTAAAAAAAACTACGCATTTGCATTATTTAAGTTAGTACGGTTAATATGCTCTCATTAACAATACATTAAGCTCAAAATGGCTTTGTTATGAATTTATCTGTATTTTACGTTTTTACCTCTTAAATTTTCTTGAAAACTTTCAAGAACACTCTTAATTTTTTCTCAAGCACTATTAGTGTCAAATATAATAGGATAACTTAAAGTATATTTCAAATGTAAAAATATTTTTAAATTAATATACGCAATACGCATAGCAGTATAATAGCTATATATGTGTAGAAAATATTTTGTATGTGAAGCATTTATGGTTAAGTAGCATAATATGTTATCTCTTGGACTTTACGTAAATTGAAAATTAAATAATAATGGCAACATAGGTACTTTGTATATTATGAGTTATGTATACGACATTCATAATAAAACTGAAACCACCAAATTTTTCAGAATTTTTTCCAAAAACAATCTTAAAATTTCAAAAATAGTTTTTCATAGCATTTTAATTTTAGAGGATATGTTGACACGTTGATATTCTGGGTGTCCGGTGAGGATTTACCAATTGCGATATCTCTCGAAATAATGGTAATATCAAAATTCTGGTTTGGTATTAAACTCACAGAGATAGGAACTACAATTGTATCATATTTTAATGTTTTGATAAAAAATTTAYAAAATAAAATTTTATATTTAATTATTTCGAAAAAAAATTAAAGACTGCCATTTTGTAGAGTTTAATTTTCTGGAAATATTGACGTTTCAAAATTGTGTTTTCATTAACTTCCTAATTTTTAATATTTTATTTAGTCTCGAGAAATATAATTAAATAACTATTAAAAAATGTAATTATAAATAAATTATAGTGCGTGTAACTTAATTAAAAAAAATGATGAAAAATTGACAGAAATTAGAATATTCCTACTTTTAAATTTAATAATAGGTATGTTAATTTTTCTACTGAACCTAACAACACAAAATTAATTCTGTTAAACGCTAATTTGTAAATTTGCAAGGCYGAGAATCCACGTCATCATACATTCAATTTTTATGATTTAATTATTTTATTGGTTAATATTCATTCAAAAACAACTCAACTTTRTAGTAAAAACAAACATTTTTACATGTAATACATTTATTTATTTATTATAAAACGTCGAATACAAATGACAGAAGTTTAATATAATTTTAATATTTTATTAAAATCAAGCCATATTAAAAACAAATTCTTGATTTGATATATCATATTGTATTGTTAAACCATTTAAATCTAAAGAACTTTATGATTCGTTAGGGAATAACTATTTGGTACTTAAAAAATGTTATCTAAACCAGTAAATAATTTATGTCTGTTCCTAAAAATAAAATGAAAGTCGTAAAATACATATATGTATTGCTGTTATTCGTTCTTTTGAACTTTTTCAAATGCCTTAACAGCCATAACTCAGAAAATATTTGACATCTAACTTAAGACGTAAAATAACTTATTAATTTTTTTAAGTAAAACTATAATACTTAAATAAAAGCTCGCGATTTTTCTTAAAAATATATATGCTTAAGTTCAAATACAAATATTAAAATTAGAATTCTTAGAATTTAAATATTTAAATATTTTGAATCTTGTGTTATATTCTTGAACATTTCTATAATCTATCTTTATTTATTGTATATATTTTATTCAACATACCAATGTTCTTTAATTAATATTAACGAATTATGATATATTTAAAATTAAGTCATTACATTTAAGTGAATGCTTAAAATTTAATTAGGAGAAAAGTAGAGAAATATGTAACAAAGTATTATGTTATGTAGTTAATACATTATTTTTATATCATTGAACATGCCTCAATTTTCAATAACTTTAATTAATTTATCATCATATTTTTTAAAATTACATTAAATACTGGRTTTGTATTTTATAGTGCGTCTTATTACCTATATGAGAAAAATATTTTAATATTTTCATGAATAATATGATTACTGAAAATTAAAAAAAAAATGGAAGCTAAAATTAATTGACAATAGTAAGTAACCTAAATTATTATAGAAATGAAAATAATATTTATTCGTTCAAGCTTAATTTAACTTTCAATATATATACATATAAAAAAAATAATCACTGATTACATTTTTTTTTTCTAAGTTATAGACTGTTAAAAGATAATTTTATTTTCATAAAAAAATTTAAATTATAATATATTATAACTCTAAAACTAATTAATGCACTCATTAAAATATGAATTTATATTAGTTAATGTGTTAAAAAAAAATCAAATATATATTTTTGAGTCCTTTGTATTTTAATTATTGTGATATTTTCTATAAAAAGTCTTCACAAATTATGTCTCAAGTGTCAAGACAAGAGCTAATTGACAGAAAAAGTTAGTTTTTGTTTATTTAAATTCTTATTTAAATTTTCCGCGTCAGGGTGTATTATTGTGTTGAAAAATAATTGTGTCAGCTTAACAGTTTTAGAAAACATTTGTCTTAA